TATCATATAGTTCGGCCATTCTACTTCTAGATATCATGCACGAGAAAGGAACATCTTTGTTCATACAAAGACTTGTACACAGATATTCACAGGAAGAAGCTTTATTTTATTTTTTAACAGTTTACACTTTTCTACAAGTAGCTTTATTTGTAACAACCGGAAACTACCTAAATATACAACAACAAATGAAAGGACAAATATATTGTGCCACATCCATAATGGAGTACCTCTCAGGAATTAAAATAATTTAACTGTTTACTGATGCAACGAGATAGCTGAATCTCAAAATAATTTTGCTAAGTGAAAAAAGCAGACGTTAAAAATGATACATACCGTAAGACTCCTTTTATATTCAATTCTATGAATTGCAAACTAATCTAAAGTGACAGAAAACAGATTAGTCGCGTGGAAACAGAAAGAGGTAACTAGAGAGACACACAGAGGAGGGATCACAAAAGTACAAACAGAAAGTTTTCCAGATATTATATTAATTATTTTGATGTTATTAATGATTTCATGAGTGTATATATTTGTCAAAACTTACAAAATTTTATATTTTGTATATGTGCAGTTTATTGTATGTCAGTTATAGCTCAACAAATCTGGTAATAAATTCTAAAAGAATACATACGATACTTAACCTCTCTGCTTCAGTCTTCATATCTGTAAAATGGACATAATAGTAGATATATCTTCCACAGTATTTAGCATATAGTTGACAAACTATGTAACCAGTTATTATTTGTCCTGGATGCTCTGCAACCAACATAATACTCTCTTAAATTTGGGGCCTAAGAACCTTCTGCTAAATCTTTTAGAATGTGGGAATGTCCTGGGATGGTGTGAAATGAGTGATCAGAGTGATCATAGGGGTACCTCAGGAAAAAATACAAAACCAGAGACCTATTGCACCACAGACTTACTGGTTAGGTGAGAGAATGGTGCCATCTTCCCACTGCCATGATCCATTTGTTGACATTTGTACTAGTCCCATCCAATGATATGACTTCACCAATTTAAGGAAATCCTGTTTGAAATAAAAAATACACTACAAATGTAGTCATTGATCATAATTTTAGTAAATACAAGGCCATAACCACTTAATCATTTTTCCTACACTTGGAAACAAATGAATTCTCTCCCCTAACTAGCATAAATCCCACCTAAGCAACACATACATAATACCTGCAAATTCTGTGCTTATTTATTTTTAATGAGGGAAGATTT